ACCAAATTTAAAGTAGAGAGAAATTAATATAAACATATTTATAAATGTAAAATAGAGAGAAAATCATATGGATAAAAGAGAGAGAAATTAATATACAGATATTTTTGAGATATGTAAATAGAGAGAAATGGATATATAAAATGGAGAGAAATTCATATGGATATATTTAAGTTGCATAAAATGAAAAGAATTTAATATAAATATTTTATAAAATTAACAAGTTTTGCATAAGGATGATTTACGAATTTAGCTGATGGAATCTAGGTTCTCATAAGGCAAGACCATAAATATGTGTATTGGCCATAAACTGATTAGGTTTATTGTATTGTATTTGAGCTGAAACTATGCGAAGTTCAGCTAAAGCTGACAGCTGAACTGGTCCATTCATGCGTAAACCCGCAAAGCCTGAATGAACATGTTTTGCTACCCTGATCTAATTGAAGTGTATCGACAGAAAAAGAGCTTTAAGATTGTCTCGCATACAGATTTCTAGAGGCAGCCAGAGGCAGCGAGATGGCTTTTTTTCTTTATATTTTATTTTTATTTTTATTATATATGTATATGTACAATATATATATAGTGTATATATATTTATATTTATTTCTGTTTTCTTTTATACTCTTTTTTTTTTTTGCTACTTTGGTAACAGGTTCGTCGCTGTTGAGAAAAAGTCAAACGGCTCAATAATCGAAGACGGCTCCGACTGCGACGTCGACGTCGACTGTGGCAGCAACTCCATGATGAAGTTGGGCTCAGTGGCAGCCGGATAAAATGAGGACAACAACGGCGACAACTTTAATGAGGTTATGTCTAGCTTGTTTGTATCTGTGCAAATTTATCTGCATCTGCATCTGCATCTGCATCTGCATCTGCATCTGCATCTGTATCTGCAATCTGCATCTGTATCTACATTTGCATCTGTATCTGCATTTGCATGTATGTCAGCTGGGATAGGCAGCAAGTCAGATTATCAGCCAGATTTGGTCTTTTCGCTCTTTCGCTATTATTCATTATTATTATTTTCTTATGAATAGAAGGCAACATACGAAATAATAAATAAAAAAAACATAAATGCAATGCATATTTGCTTACCACTTCCTCTGGTCGTAATGGGCTGCTACGCCAAGCACTCGTAATTGCTGTTGTTGACTTTTGTTGTCTCGGCTGTTGTTATTAATGTTGCTGCATATTTTCAGTAGTTTTCAGCAAAATTGCACAGATCATAAAATTGCGAGAGGAAAACAAAATAAACAAAACACACAACCAATAAAAATACAAAAAAAAAAAAATTAAAACCGATATGGAACGCGAAACAACTCTTTAAAATATGCACAAAATTCATATGCTTTCCACAACATTAATACACGAGAAGAAAAAAAACACCATCAAACGATAACAAAAACAAATCGTGTTTAGAAAGAGGAAAAAACCGTTGCACGCCTGCGCTTTCAAAATTGTTTGGGCAAAGCTTTTTTCTCTGAGCTGCGAACGCAGAGACGACTTTCACGTACGAGAGTTCAAAGCAAACTAACTGACAACGGCTTCGGCGACGGCGAAGGCGACACCGACAGCGAATGCGATGGCGATGGCGATGGAAACGGCAACAACGGCAACGGCAACGGCAACGACGACGACGTCGACGACGACTCCTCCAATTCGATTGCGACTGCGCCAATCGCCGAAGTCAACCAACAGCTCTGATTGCTTTGGCCGTTTTCAAGCCAGCAGTCAGCAGATGAGAGAACTATATATATAGTATGATGGCTTAGGCAACCTTTAATATTATTATATACAGTTGTGACAAATAACTATGCACTTTGCAGTCATTTAAATAAACATGGTTGCGTGTTACTCAAAAAATAATTAACTAGTGCGCAAATTAAAAATTTCAATTATGTTACTAACAGCAACAAAATTAACTAATTCCGCACATTATAGTATTATCTTATGCTTGGCCTTAGTCAATTTAAAAAACTGCTGTCAACTGAAGAGAAATAGCCATAGACTTAGCTCAGCACTAGCCCAAGTTAAAAGCTATCAACACTGTTGCGTCTGCTCTTTTCGCTTCGTCGGCGTTGCCACTGCGTTGCAATTACAACAACTTATTCGCCGCGACCGCAATCATTGCCCGCCGTTTGCGTCGTCGTCGGCGTCAGCGTCGCCGCTGTCGCACTTAGCCGACTGATTAGCTGCTGATGGTGCCACTCAGTGGCCGCTGCTGGTCCGCTAGCCCGCTGTCGTGCCTCAGTTAATTTCCTTTAATTTTTGCGGCTTTTTCGCATATGGGTTTTGTATGTATAGATATTACATACATACATACATATGTACATAAGAATGTTTCGAACAAATATTTACCTGCACCACTAGCTGTACATCTGTAATGGGATCTTCACAAAATGTACTAACAAAATATTTAACTTGATTTTTTGCAACTGGAGCTGCGCCGTAAACATCGTCTCTAGTTTGATGATTCTAGAGAATGGACTAGAAGAATAGATTCTGACCAAGACTACCTTTATACACATATGTATACCATATCTTATCAGGTGACTATTTCTTTTTTTGGGATGACCTACATCGGTTACAGAAAGCGACAGGGCATATTCACATTGGGCACTATAATTTAATCAAAATATATATGTATGTATTAGATAATAACCAAGTCACTGTCTTAGGCTTTCTTCTTGATCTCGAATACTTCATAGGTGTACTCTTCGATAATCTTTAAGTTCTTTATGATAAACTCCTTAATGGCTGCCACATATTCGGCCGCGCTCTTGATAAGGTTTTCGAACGCCTCGATCACCTTGCCCTCGCCCTGCAGCTGACCCTTGAACTTTTCTTCGGTCACCTGCATGATGTAGCCACGTAGCCCCAAGAGCTTGGCCTGAGCGAGGGCAAACAGCTCGAAGGCCTCCTTTTGCAGGTTGCCATTTATCTCAAAGTCGCAGGCCATAATCTTTGGACTCTGTTCAGATCCTGCCATTTTTGGTAGACTTGGTTAATTTTGTATATATTTGAATAGATGTTTTACAAATAATTTCATTCCCACAAAAATGAAAAAAAAAAATAAAATAAATAAACTGTCACAAATTTGACATGAAAAACGAAGAGCTTATATTGATGTACATAAGATTATTTGGAAATGGATTTTTTGGGGAAGAGAATATTAGAACTCGTAACTTTGCAGAGTTTTTATTGATGTTAATGGAACGCTTGCATTGATCTCTTTCTCTTAATATTTTAGTAATCGTTGAGGAGACTTGGAACAGCTCGATAGAACCAAGAGATACGATACATTAATCGAAGCCATAAGTTTCCCAAGTACCTATATTCCATAAGTTACCTATGTTGTTAGACGTTAGGGCTGATCTTACAAAAAAAAAAAAACAAGCTAATCGATACACTCAAATTATAGATTTCAATTTCAAGGAATCAAAAGTAGGCCTTCAATAACATGCCATGCAAAAAACTGAAGGAATATATACAACCCAATACGGTTATAACGACGCTCGAGGGACCGTCGCGTATACCCAGAAGTAGCTATTACCATATAAGTTTGCTCATAAAAGTTTGTCGGGACCAGAATTTTCATCGCAATAAACATACGGGCGCTATGAGCGCAGTCGTTATAGCCTGATTCTACTGTATTTGCACATGAAATAAGAGGATATAGGCGTATCCCTATGCCCATCAAATATAACTCGATTGCAGTGCTAATTTTTATTTGCTCATGGGTGTAACTATTTGGACCATCGACTAAACTAAACTTGAACATTAAACGATTTGCGTCGCCCTAAGCTAAATCTTCGCCCTTCGCCCTTTCTGACATCCTTTTACTGTTCGTTTTCTGTGGGCTCCTCCTGGACTTCTGTGTGGGCTCCGTTTGCAGCAACGCCTCGTCCCTGCGGCAACAGCAGCACCTCGTGGGAGGCCAGCCCGGATGCATTTGCTGGCTGGAGCATCTTGCGTGTCTTGTGCTTGGCCAGAAAAGTGTACGCCGACTCCTGCTGCATCTTTTCAACGAGGCTGTGCGGCTGCCAGAACTTAGCGGGACTCGCGAAGCGGCCAATGCTGGCTGCAAAACTCAGATACATGTGGACGAATGTAGAGCCACGCGAAATAGATAAATATATATATACAGATACGCAGCATCCAAAATTTAGGCATTCGCGATGCAAATTGATCGCGACGCGTTTTGCTAAAGACGGGAACAATGGAATATATATCTATATCAATATATTATAGATATATATATATACTTTCGATACGGTTTTATAATTTCTGTTGAAAATGAAAGAAAACTATGAAAATATATTTTTCAGCACAACCAACTCGGACGGTTGTGAATGAATGAGATTTTCATTTCATATTTTCCTCTAGCCAGTCTGAAGTTTGACATGTCTCTCGTCTCAATGAGCCGTTTTTTCAACGTCAAAACTTAAAATGACAGAAAATTCCATTGAAAAAAAAAAAACATCATCAAAAATCATACAAAATGAAAAATTGCAATAAATTTTTAATTCCAATTAGTTCACAATATAATAAAAAAAAAAAATTAATAAATAAAAAATAACGTTTAATCATATGTTATTTTAAATCACAACTCAGCTTGAAGTCTTTTGTTTTTTTTGTTTTGTAAAATAAATTTTGTTTGCCTCTAAAACCGATTTTTCTCAGCTTGGTCTTTTGGCGGTTGCGGCTCTTCCTTAAAGACGGGCACGACGGTGCGCCTAGTTAGTGGGTGGGAGGGGAGTAAGGAGAGGCGGGAAAAGATAGATGAGTAAAAAATAAATTAAGAAATTAAATAAATTGCTTAGCCAAGTAGCCAAGACAACGACAACAACAAAAACAACAAGTTACACACAGCAAAGGCAATAAAGCAACAAAATGAGCAGCGCAACGAATGCTAAATACCCTGTAATTTTCAAATTAGAAACAAAAGCATATAGGATATCTTAAATCACTTAGCCATCTGCCCCGCTTAGGAAAACAATTCATGACAATTTGTGAATTTGCATTTAATATTATAAAAAAAAAAAAACGCACACACATACAGTTTTCAGATTGACAATTAAATGTTGTTAAATATTCGATATCCTGTAGGGAATATAATCGTTATATCATGCCAGGCTTGTACGTATGATAAGATTTTATTTAAAAACAATCTTGGTGCATGGCTTGTTGGATGGAATGAAGAGTAAATGGTGAGATTTGATCGGCCTCGCAGCTGGCGACAGGTGACATCAGGTCAGGTGTGCAGCTGAATGGAAAAACATGGGCCACTTCCAGTTCAGACAGATTCAACAGTTTTAGCAGTTATAGCTGAGTGCACACATAGGCACAGGCATACTTAAACAAATACATATACAGATATAGATATATTTAATGGATTCCTGTTAACAATTTAATATTCGTTTAGCAAATTTTTGTTTCGTGCGCAACAGAATTTAGCTTAAGTGCTTTATAGATATTATCATATATAGTATACGTATATTTATGTATATATATGTATAAAAAAAAAAAACAAAAACGAACAATCATATAGTATATAGATGGGTGTACATGATATTCATATATGTATATATATATATATATATATATATATATATATATATATATATATATATATAGTTTACACAAGATTCATTATTCGCATTTTATGACCCACACAGAAGCCATGAGAATTTCGATTCACAATAAAAAAAAAAATTAGAGATATATTTGTAGAGAGAGACAGAGAGACAGTTGTTCTCTGCATGGATACCCCTTGTTTGCTTTTGGGGCTTACGTTCTGCAAATGGAGAGCATGTCCAATAGAAAGACGGCGCCATTGATGATCATCAGGGAGCCAGCTGCGAGGGCGTTGCGCTTGCGATCCTTCAAGAAATCGTAGGCATCATGCCACTCATCAATGACCAAGGCACCGGAGGCCACGAACAGAATGCAGCCGAGCAGCGAGAGCAGCGCATTGAGACGCTTCTCCACAACCGAGTTGATGAAGTGCCCTGCACAGTAATAAGCCAGCGAGAGAGAGAGAGAGAGAGAGTTAAGATCTGAGATAAGAAAGTTTTCCTGTTTTTTTTTAGGTACTCACCGATCAGCAGGACGGCGCAGATGATTGTGTAGCCCACAATGGTGCCGCACACAATCAGCGGACGCTTGCTCAGATCTCCAACAACCTCATAGAGCACAACACAGGCGATGGCAATACCCTGTAAATACATCAGATACATCATCAATAATGGCAAATACAAGTTAGGTTTGCCACCTAAAACGTTAAACTCTGTCAGAGAATATAAAATAACGATATATATATATATATATCACTGTCTGCCTTATCTAGCTGCTTGATTTATCTATCATTTTAATACTTTCATTAAAAGTTACTAATGAATCAAATTGAAATTTAAGAATTATTCTTAAGAATTATTCGTTTCTTCCTTTTCATTTCGGCTAGAAATGAAAAATTAAAGAAGCAAAAGTCTACATAGCCAAAATCGATCATCATATTTGCCTACAATTTAACATTTGTAATATTATCGACAAACATACCCTGTAATTTCTACAGTTCCGGTGTGTAAGTTTTCGGTATTTTCATTTCCCCCAAAAATGATGTGAAGATTCTGAATTGCTCCTCGATAAAGGAGTTCCAAAATGACTCATTTAATATTAAAGCTTCTAGTTATAAAGCTTTAGGAAATATGGATATGTATTTGTTATTCACCACGACCCTTACACCCCTAAACACGATTGTAAGTCCGACATATCTTTTGCATCTTGAGCTGTGAAATGTGTAGCTTTAATAGGGACATTTCATAAAACCAATATACTAATTTCGCTTTTCTGAATGAGTATAAAAATCATTAGGACAATTTTGAATATAATTAAACCACAAAATATATAATAAGAAAAAATATTATATTATAAGAAAAATATTTGATATATTATAACTATAATATAATATATATTTCATATATAATATGTTTTACATAATATAAGACTTTGTCTTTTATTGTACCTATAATACACAAAGACAAGTTTCAAGATATTCTATATACCAATTAGATTAAATTCTATGGAAATATCCCTAATTCTAATGTCTTAGCTCCTCTCAGGCGCTCTTTATGTGAGTGTGTATGTATAAAAGAAGAATAGTCAGATTGGAGGAGCAGCTCTGCGCAGGATGCAGGGTATCACCTAGTCAGGCATTTCCAACTAGAGCACACTTACTGCGGTTTGCTTTAGAGTTCTGTATATAGAAAGGAAACCCGAGATTGCATAGTTGACACTAGAATTTTAATTAGAAATATGTTCAGTTGTTTCTTTGGTGACTAAACTCTATATTGCACACACGTAGACCCAGTGATTCATCTAGATTTCCAAGTGAATAATAATAATGTGTTTGGCATTGCTGGAATTTGTCGAACGTTTATTGGGCATGAAATATGACGAATGTGTCGACGATAAAAAAGGCGGCGGTGGCAAAGGAGAGCACTCCAGAGGCCAGGATGGTGTTCTTGTTTCTGGTCAGCTCGACGCGGTGCATCCAGCGATCGAATATGATGGCACCCGTCGACACGAACAGCACACAGCCGGAGACCGTGAAGAGTATATCGATGCGCTTGTCCAGCTTGGCGCCCAGCAAGTGCCCTGCAATTGCAATGGAATGGAAGGCACATTCGTACAGTCAGGCTGGCGGGCAACTGCCTGCGATCATCGTGGGGCGATATTACCTATGCTCAGTGCACTGCATATGATCAGGTAGCCGGTTAGCGTTCCACAGACGAGCATCGCCTGGCTGCTATAGCTGTGATCCGTCACGCTCTCGATCAATATGATAATGCTCGCCGTGAAGATCTGCGATTAGCGCTTAAAATACTGGATCAGGCGGGAAGCTGCACGAACGAGTGGACAATGGAACATTGGAACAACGGGACGACGGAACAGACAAACTCACACGGAACAGAGTTAAAGACAAAATCAACTGAGGAACATAGGTAAAGACATATGTACAGTTATTAACTGTAGAAAAGTGCATGCACAAACATTTTGCACATTTTTATAGAAGAGGAAAACGCATAGAGAAGGAAAAGCACGAGATTCTTGGTTAACAACAACAATGCTGCATTGAGATTTTTCCTATATTATGAACATGTCTTTAAATTATCTGAGTAAGTCTTGAAAGTACAGAAACATTTTAATAAAGACTCTATTTTAAGCTTTGATAGCACTAAGTTTTATCTACGATTATATATACACCAATCCACAAAATAAATAAAATAAATAAATAAAAACAAAAAAAACTGATTTTCAGTAATTTTCAGTAGAAAAAGCGAATATTAAATAACTAAATATTCTTAATATTATTATTTTGGTTTATCTGCCTATCAACTCTATTCTCTAACTATGTATGTATTAACAAATCTATATAAACATAGATAACAATCTATTCTGTTTTCTATCTATGAGTCTATATATTTATCCATCTTTCTATATATGTCATAACTTTTTTTTATCTAGCTATAAATATTTACATATAACTTAATATACTTATATCTATTATATATCTGTTATATTTATATTAATATTTAGATTTGAATACACTTATCTAAATATTTTGGTTCTTTATGATTTACATCTCTACTCTGTCGCTTTATCATATACATATGTATGTATATGTATGTCTATCTATCTCTCCTTATCTATTATTAATTTTGAATCCACTTCATTTCTTTGCGCTTTGAGTGCTCCACGCTTAATGAGTAAAGTCTCCGCATTCATATAGAAGCCCCAGGTCCTATTGCCTGTTGCTCTATATCATAAGTCTACAATATAATGGCTATAAGTCGCGGGACTTAGTGCCATACGGAATTCCCAGCGAACTAAAGCCAATTTGCTTATCAAATATGAAAATTATTTAGATATTGATATGACAAATGGCCGTAATATTGACGAGCCATTGTCAACAAATGGAGCTATTAAGCTATATGTGTATAGAGAGAGATGTATATATACAGATAGCTGATATAAATGGGTGTGTGAGTGAGTGTGTGTGTGTGTGTGTGTGTGTGTGTGTGTGTGTATGTATATATAAATGACATGGGAACGCTTCCTGCTTAACTGGGGCAATCAATCAATCAATTAGAAACGCTGTTAGACGCCGTTAATTGCCAGCTAAAAGGATGAGACATGCTTACATATCCTGTCAAGGCTAACACACACACACACACACACACAGTTGGCAATTGTTTGATTTGTAATATGAGCTAACAACAACAACAACAACGATGACGACGAAAAGTCATTAAGGTAGCATGTTTATTAAGTTGCAGATAATGCAGTCATATCGGTCTATATATACCTCTATATATATATATATATAGAGAGAGAGAGGGAGAGGTATCCAGATACGTATATATTGTATATAGCCAATATTTTAATGCCAGCGCATGTGTTTTATTATTGTTTACTTCACGCCCATTAGTAGCAAATAAATTTGGATGATAAAAGCAGAAAGAACTTAGGAAAGTACAAATAAAATTTGTATGCCAAATAATTACGAACGGACGCCCATTTGTTTTTATTTGCCATACGGATATTTTGTGTAATTCAATTGAATGGGCAGCTGGGAATCTTTAGCTAAGTTATTCGTATACCAATAATTCACTGCCCTCTCCACAGATGGGGTATACAAATCCAAGACTATGGCAGCTATAGTAGAGACTAGACAGCTTGTCACGCCCCCATCATTTTGATGAAAATATTAAGGTTCATTTCTGGAATTTGATATTCATATAGCTCCAATCATCATCAGAGCATCTATAGATGCCAGCTTTGCCAGCCTACATAAAGTAATCCCAGTAATCCCATTTAATAGACTACATAGGCATATATCCTCAATTTCCGAAGCCTAACATAAGTAGAGTAATATAACAAATAATATACGAAAACAGTCCCGAAGTCTCAGGGCGAAACTATATAAACATCAATATATCTAAAAACATCCATCTATAGCTCCAGACTGTCCTAATTTTAGAATTTAAATTTAGTATGTCTAACATGTCTCGACTACATAAACATTTATAATTTATAGCCAATAACATGAACCCAACATAAAAGCTTGAACCATCTCCTATTATTGTTGTCAAATTTTGTTTATAATCAAAAATTATTTACATGGCAATGAAAAATGCATAAAAATCTAAAAACTTATTTTTTTTTTTCTTTTACGTACACATGGAAAAACAAAAGACGAAAGTTTTTTAAGAAAATTCTGTTAGGTTGTATTGGAGCTTCCCCAAATTCAAACTGCTTCAAAATTAGATCATTTAATTACTACAAAAATTAGATAATTTTACCTCTAGCAATTAGGGAGTTATAAGAATGTTTCTTGGCCTGTCTAAAACTTTGATTTAAACATGAGCTTGGGAATATTTGATATAAAACGAAAAGCTCTGCCTTCTTAATAAAGGACCCCATTTCGGCTATTTTTGTGCAGGGCATATAAAAGATTGCTTTAACTCTAGATATAAATATTAGTTATTGAATGATTTATTTTAATCAATATTAGAAATAAGTTTTCTGATTTTGTTTTCTCTTTTATAGGGTATAATTTATACAAAATTTCCATTATTGTATAGGAAAACTTGGATTAGCTAATGATTTTCATATTAAACTACCTGAAACCCTTGAAACTATAGGGTATACAAAAGTTCCCTTTAACCAAAAATCCTACCCTTTTTTTTCTGAATGGCATGCTCTAATCTAAATTCGAATGAAACATCCGAATTTTCACACTGGAATACCCCATTCATTCTCAACTCTGTTTTCACGATTCATTTGGATAGTTTTCATGACCAATTTGGGTAGTTAGTATTCCATTAAGTGTGGCGAATCGTTAGTTGAAATTTCACCTTGCTATGAGCCCCGTCCGTTGGCTGCCCAAAACTTAAGCCTGTGCGACTAGAAAGTAAACAAACAACAATTGCACTAACAACTGATCGAGGGGAGCCATGCCCATATATCAGCGACGGTTTGTAACGCGCTTAGTTTGGAGCAGGAGGCGGAGGGGGCAGAGGGGAGGTGGGAGGTGGGAGGGAGGGTAAACGGGGCAAGGCATTTAGCAATTAATTATATGACGCCGACATGCCATTGACAATGGCCATTGCTCCGAGCTGGCAACAATGGGCCATGCCCCAAAAGCAACAACAACAAATGAGAAATGAAAGAAGAAGAAGCAGCACAAATGAATTAACATTGCGAACAATAATAAATGCGCTACAAATAGCGCGCACAGATTCGCAGCTAAAACATTTATTAGCTCGCAAACAGATTTGCGAGTGTGTTGCAAGAATTGTTGCTGCTGCTGTAGTGCGAAAAAAAAAAAATAAAATAAATAAATATATAAAAAAATAGAAAAACTTTGAATAGAGATTTGAACATGGATCACACTATGAACATGTCTGTCTGTCTGCCTGTCCCTCTGTCCCTCTGTTTACCTATATCTAATGCAAACAATAAATGCGTCGCCTTATCTGCTGTGCCTTGGGGCCCGTGACTGGCGTTGCCAAAAAAACAAAAAATAAAAAACAAAGCAAATAACAATCATATTTTGTTGCTAAAGAATGTTGCGAATTTCCACTATTATTGAATGAAGATGACTCAGCTACTAACAATTGTTGCTGCTGTTTAGCTCATTAAATGACCCAACAACAACAACAACAACAGCAACAACAAGAGCAACAAGCATTAACAATTAGCTATGCCACACTCGCACACATTAGTTCGATTATTGTTTATTCAATGCAGTGCCCGCAGCTTCGACCTTTCGTGGCTGCCTCCGACGCTGGCGCACATGGCGTATGCGTAATATGATTCTGTTCGAGTTCACACTTGCTATAATTATGACATCATCATCATTATCGTGATCATCATCATCAACACAAGTTCGTGATCGACTGACGCTGACGTCGATTACGTGCCAATGCGACTTGAGGCGCGTCTTGGTTTCATTTCACTTCAGTCCATTCCATAGCATTTCATTTCATTTCATTTCATTTAATTAGCCAGCCAATTCCCACAGAGAGCTCAGCTATACATATACCTTTAAGGTGTGGTCCCTTTATACACTCAAGGCCAGATCTAGCCGTTTGCCTAGAACCAGTTACGGCTCAAAGTATTAATAAATTGATCACACTCTGATTCATGCCAAGGCAACAATTTGTTTATGCCTAACTCAACCCGGGCTAAGGCCCTAGCCCGGAGATGCTCCGGATTTGATTGCTGTACGCATTCTACCTGTAAACTTTGCATATATATGCAAGTATTTCAATTATAAATATATGAATAGTATATATATTATATATGATATAGTTATACACTGCTATATCTCCTACTCAGATGCGTGCATCTTAATTGAAAGTCAAGATTAAAACAGTTGTTAAATTAAGCGACAAATTGTTCACTTGAAATGTGAAATCATCCAATGATAAATGGTACGTGGATCATATTTAAATATAAAATACTATAGCAACACTAGGGCAAGTGTTTTATATTTAAATATGATCGACAGCTCTAAAATACCACTCGAAGCACGACAGGCGGCTATAAACGACGATATAATACTCGCTCCATTTTATCTGGATGTTGTTATCCAAAACATAATAAAATAATGTATGGGCCTATCTATAGAGAACATAAACAGTAATCCATACACAAGCTTAATTTGATTTGAATGCCAGTTAAAAAACTGTACAATAGATAATAACAAGTTTGTCAGTTTAAACACGCTTCCAATATATATGAATGAAGAATTTTTAGAGGAGCAGTTAAGAGGCAGAGTTCTGCAAAATCTTATCCAAGCCACGCCCTCAATGGGGTATATAAATAGTAATATACTTGTTTATAATATATATAATATATACACAAAATCTATTATCAGCCAGCTACCAAAACTCTAAGTTCATTCAACCCGAAAATAAAATAATATCAACGAATATACAAATTCCCGAAATTTTCGAAATTGCCAAATTGGTTACATTTATTCAAATCTGAAATCTTCCAATACTAAGAAGGAAAGTGTTCTATATTTAAAAACAAGTCAAAATACTGCAGGCGGCTGTAAGCGACTATATAATGCCTATATAAACTCGTAAAAACTCTTAAATATAATTAAATATATTTTTATTAATATTATTCAATCTATTCGATAAATAAAAACATATTTAAGTATATAAAAAATATATTCTATAGCCATTCGCTGATTGCAATAAACCAATATACTCCATGCTAGCCGAAATGAGTATACGAATGTTATTCTGAAGTGATTCCAGCCATCACAGTCATCCCAAGGCGATAAGACTCTAGATCCATGAACCGCAATCTGCATGCGTCAGCTGGACTAGGTCGGCGCTATCTATGCCTCGAGTAAGTACTATATGCAACTGCCGTTGCCATTGCAATTGCGAATTTGCAAAATAAACACATTTGGGAAACGAGGTCAGCTGATAAACTCAATTGTTTAAAGGAATTTCAATATATTTTCCAAACAAATTTCCCATTTTTGGCACCGAAAGAGCCAAAGCTAAGAGAGTTCGAGCTGGCATGTTACTGGACTGCGTAATATCCGTTAACAGAACGCTGACAATACTTGCGGCCTGCCATATTTCGTTTTTTTAATCCGATCTTCAATAAAATTTTGCCGAATTTTAATGTTTATAATAATAATAAACAACAATTTGGTTTATGCCGACAGACAGACAGTCGCAAATCAAGAGACGTCGACGTCGATATATGTATATAATAAGCGAATAAAGTAAATAAATATAATATGCGAATCAAATAATCTGCGCAACGGTGACATCATGGATATAGCAGAGCATCATCGGCGGAAGTCGGAGCAAGTTGATTGCTTTTGTTGTTACGATTCTCTGGCCACATGTGCATGGAGCGCGGCGGCCAATCATTATTGTTTTGTATTCTTCTTCCTCATCTTCTAATACAATTGGTCAGACAATCTCAACAGATTAATGACATCATGCCGGCTCGGTCTGGGCCGGGCTGAGCCCGGGGATCACACAAAAGACTTGAAATGCCAGCCACGCATTAGAGAACTACGCAGTTACAAAAAAGGAAGCACGCACGCACAACAACAACAATAATAAAACGAAAAGCAACAACAACAACAATCACTGCCAAAAAAAGAAACTTCAAATGAAGTCATGACCAATAATGAAAACGAGTCTGAGCAATGCAAACCGGTTGATTCAAGGCAACTGATGCAAGGGTAGAAACGACAACAATAACAAATAAAGTAGAAGAAGAAGAAAAAGAAGAAGGTGGAGTTGACTAAGAACAAAATCAAGAGCAAACAACAGGCGCAACAGCAGCCGGTGCGAGAGTAAAGTAGAGAGAAAATGTAGCCCAAAAGGGAGCTGCGACACAGAGTTGAGAACAGTTTGAACAGGACTCACAGCATAGTAGATAAATACATACATACATACATACATACATACATACATGTGTATGCCTGGATGCCTGGATATACAGCCACAGAGAATAGATACCGCACATAGCACACATACATACATACATGTGTGTATAATTACAATAGTCAACAATCATTACTCACCAGCTCAATGATCTTCAATAGCAAACGATTGTTAAACTCCATGGCGTTCCCGTTAATACGTTTGTGTTTCGCTTCTTTATTATTGTTTTTGACTAATTCTTCACTTCACGCAGCTGACCGTGTGCACGTCTTTGCCAAGCGCTGTGCGAAAACTGACTGAACCGAAGGTACGCCAGCGCGCGTATTCAAAGCTCAGCCAATCCAGGCAGAGGCGTAGCGCAGTCATACCGAAATCAACAGCAATAGCGGCAACAGCGACAGCGACTGCGACTGTGACTGCGACAGCGACTGAGAACAACGCATTTGACGTCGACATGAGCAATTGGTATGTGTTAGTGTATGCATGCATGTATGTATGTATGTATGTATGTACGCATGTATGTTCATACATATTTACAAATACGGAGAGATACTTCAATTCTTATCAACATTAATTGCCAAATACAAAACACATGTGTACTATATTAACATATTATACCTTTATATGCACGCACATACTTATTTGCATATGTAAGGCCATCTTTTTATATGTGTTATTAAAGTAAATAACTAAAAAACTAAATTAAATTTTAGATTATATTTTGTATAATACATATACATACATATGTACATATGCTACTACTATACATACATATATAGAGCGAAGTATTAATATTATTATGGACTTTTCAGTAACTGACAGATCCAAACCGTAAGATTTATGAAGATAGCTTTGCAAAATTGAAGAGCATTCACAATGTTACTTAACTTTTTGTTGACTATGTAAGAGCGTTTTTTATTTTTTAGTTGAGTCTTAAGGAAACACTAGATGAAAACCTATTATATGGAAGATGTACAAAGTTACTCGAAATATAGTTCACTTATGTATTTCTCAAATATTCTTACTGCTAATTTAAGCAATGCAATGCAATGCCTCTCACTCTCTCTTTCCCTCACTCTCTCTCTCTCTCTCTGTCTTAAACAAACCTCAGCCTCAACACTCAATGTTTCAGTTGTTTCCTCTTTCTCTTGTTCTCTTCCCAGTATTTTATGTTTCTAATTCTCAGTGTTCATACCTCTTTTCCATACTTTATCTTTCAGTTATCCCAATCTCTAGTCACTCCCTCTTAATCTCTAAAAATAACTGTGTTTATAACTCCTCTCCCATTCTATCTCATTTCACATTTATTAGCTGTTTCACTCATTTACACACACTCTGCCTCTCTCTCGATATCATGTACCTGCCTATCTCTCTCACTGCCTCTCTGTCAGGCTAGTAAACAGCAATATTATAGAGATGTTACTGTTATAGAGATATACATATGTATGCATACAGGATAAGAAAAAGTTTAATGAAAGTTTTGGGCAATGCTTATCAGCTCGTATATACATCTACTTATATCTGCCGTTCAATTAATTAATTCCATGTGTATTAAGCTTTTATAATATTGTTTTATTTTTATCCCACATTATCAATAGGACTTTCGGATAAAAAAGAAACAAGTGCTTATGAGACTTATCTGTTTGCATAGGCAAAACCTAAAATAATAATAAAAAAAAAAACATTAGAGTTAGTTTAATTATCTGGTTATGGCCATGCCAACGTGGGCCATGGCACGTTCCGCCTCGAAGGCAGACACAAACTGTGGCTCCAGTGTGGAGAGCGCACGCCGGCTAAGCAGGGCAATGCTCTTGGCCTCGCCATGATCCCGCTCGAACGCAATGTATTCGAGCCAAACGCTTGGTTCTTTCTTGCCAAAGTAGGTGGCCATGAATTCGTAGCACATGCGCCACGCCTTAATTGTAGATAGATCCTGTGGAGTAATAAATAGTGATATAGATTAAGAGATGTCAGTGTGGAGCATTAAGAGTGGACTCACTTTCAGTTTGGTGCTTTCTATTAGGCTGATCATTTCGCGATGCAGCTGCAGCGACATCGGCGGTTGCTGCGCCAACTTGGCATATTCATCACGGGCCTTGGCCGGCGAGTGCTCGTGCCAGAGGTAGCGTAAGTAGCTGCACCGTAGATCGGCAAATTCTGGCCAGGCCTCCTTGCAGGCCTGTGTGTAAATGTCATTCAGCTGCCGCTTGGCCTGGCTATCGTTGCGCGCCCTATAATAGGCGATCACCATTTGCCAGAGCGGCAATCCGGCGGCGCCCATCGTACGGCGCACTTGGCTGAACAGCTTGTGAACGCTCGGCTCATCATCGTTGCGAATGTGGGCGGCTAGCAGCAGCTCGTGCATGCGCAGCGAGTCGTCGTGCTGGAGTGCCTCGGTCAGGATGCGCACACAGATCTCTCCGCCGTTCTCATCGCTGCCCAATATCATGCTGAGCGTGGCGTAATGCCGCGAATGCATCAGCTTGGAGCGATGACCGTCTTGCAGAGCGCTCGCCAAGCATTTTTGGATGTAGGCGCGCTCCGTTTTATGGTTCTTGCTAAGCGCAAGCATGGCGTCCAGATATAAGTTCCACATTTCTTGTGTCTGTAGCTGTTGCACAGCCGTCTTGTACACCTCTGCGCATAGTTGGATGCAACGCTTCTTCGAGCGCGTCTGAAACACTTTCACTTGGGTGTCCGTGCGCGACTTCTTCTCACTCGGCTCGCCATCATCCTCGTTTTCTGTCATATTCATAAGATCACCGAGATGGTAGCCACGTAGCTCACGCTTCGCCAGTGCATCCCATAGCGCTGGCTCACGTGAAAACTTTGTCTGTATATCCTCAATGATGTCGAACTGCAGCTTTGCAGTAAGCTCTGCATGATCCTCACAGCTCTCGAGCAGTTTCAGGAAGTAATCCAGGTTTGTAATGTTTGCCAGACTGTTGCGATAGATGGCCACGACACGCTCCATTTGTATGTCTTGCTCTGAGATTGTGTTGTCGCCCAAGCTACGTTTGCTGTCCGCCAGCGCGGCCTCCTTTAACTGTATATTAAAGAAGCAATTGTTCAGCGACTCGGAGGAGGGATGACGTTGAAGTCCACGCAACAGTATATCCTGGACGCGCGGCATATTGGCACGATTATATTCATAAAGCCACACTGCGGCATTGATCCAAACTTGTGGATCACCACCATGATACTAAATGAGAAGGTAAACGATTCATGACAACTGCTCAAAGTGTATATATTTTTGTCTTCGGCTAAGCCAACTTACCGAAAGCATCTTCTCGTATATGCCAGCCACCTCCTGTGGCGCTGATTTCTTGCTGAACTTAATGCAATTCTCCCAAAGACGCTGCTCGTGTGGAAACTTAGTCAACATTTCCCTGTACATTCGCATAATACGCGTGCAAGTGGAGGCTTTAAGGCCCGTTAGCTTAATGCCGGCAATTTTTTCCTTTTCGGTAATTGTTTTATACATTGTCTTTTCGTAGACTATAAACTCCAAATAATCAGACATACTTTTCTTGCTTTTGGCTATATTCAGCAATAGGCGTTCTCGTTTCCGTATACATTCCCTGAAAATCAATTATTAATATGTTATATTCACATTTAAAAACATCATTTTAATGTAGTGAATAATTACCTGATTTGCTCTGGTCGAAATATTTGGTAGAGCTTCATTTGCTCGTACTCCGGCAGCAGGCGCTCCTGCATTTCCGCAATAAACTCACCCATATTGAATTACTTTATTTCTTACGCGTAATGTAGCGTAGCAAATTATTATAGATTTAATTTATAAACTTTTGCTTCTCGCGCACGTTTTCGACATGTAGATGCAATCAGCTGCTAAGTGTTTCTTATCGATTGTATTAAGCAGCCCTGGTAAATTCATTTCGATAGACGAGGTTTTGACATTTGGGAAATTTTGGTCACCTAAAACACCAAACAATTGGGAAACTGGTCACTTTTTTCAAACACAAATTTTTTAATTTACAGTAAATAAATAAAGTTCCCGAAAAACAAAAGCAAATTGCAATGGCCGAATTCTCAGTAGAGCGCGTAGAAGACAAACGCACAGTTAATGGTCGCACAGAGTACTACTTGAAGTGGAAGGGCTATCCTCGCAGTGAAAATACTTGGGAGCCGGTCGAAAATCTGGATTGTCCTGATTTAATAGCAACATTTGAGGAATCATTAAAAAATAATAAAAAAGAGACAAAAAAACGTCTTTCCACATCTTCAACGCCGGAATCAATACGAAGTAAGAGAAAATCATTCATGGAGGAAGAAACAGACGAGCAAAAGAAGCTGATTGGCTTCGATCGTGGCTTGGAGCCTTCAAAAATCCTTGGTGCTACCGACTCTTCCGGATATCTGATGTTTCTGATGAAATGGAAGGGAAGTGATCACGCCGATCTAGTGCCTGCCAAGCTGGCCAACATCAAATGTCCCCAAGTCGTAATACAATTCTACGAGGAACGTTTAACCTGGCACACTGGAAATGGCAATGGCAACGGCAACGGCTCGGGCAGCGCATGTGGCAGTACGCATCATGGTGGTAGCGTTGGCACGCCTGGCAGTACTGCAGACGCAAGTCCAAGCGGCAGCATCAACGATGAGAATATCAAGCCTGACGCTGGCTCAGAATTAGGGAGTGGAGAGGCTGTCTAGTTGATTTACCAGAACTTGTTAAGGCAGCAAACACAACGCCATGTAAAGCCAACATGGATACACACGGACACCAACACACAGACGTACACAAACATGCTCGCTCCTACATTTTTACATACAAATAACATAGACATAATCATACATATACATATATTGATATACAGGCATGTTCATTATTGCATCAACAACAGATACAAAATGTTGGGCATATTTCTGAAATAAAATAAGCGTACATACAAATATGTAACTTAAATATAAATGTCTGCATTTTTAATCTAGTTGGACAAAAGATTTATAAAATCCTTTTTATAAACATATAGTAATTGAGTCTGGCAACGCCAACTGAGGAGGCTGTCGATTATTTCGATAAGTAACGCCTCCAAGCCGGTAAACTAAAATAATATAAAGAAACTACAAATGCAAATGTAGGGAGCTTGATTAAACTATATATTAACAAAAAACAAAAATAGAATAATGGCTCAATCAAGCTCGATGAAGCTCCTTGGCGCACGCAACATGAGTTGCATCGTGGAGCGCATGGAGTGGAACAACAAAATGGATCTCATTGCCTATGGCACCGAGAAAGGTTTGTCGCCAACATTTTTTGGCAAGCATTTTGATCTATCTCTG